CTTCCATGTTCTGAAATCTAAACCTTTTTTGGAGTTAACTACACAGTTACCTGTGATTAATCTGTCTCTAAGACGATACGTGGATAACAGACTAAGTATTATTTGTATGACAATGACGATACATTTGAAGCAGTGTATCAGAGATCTGATTGGATCATAATCCCTTACCATAAAATAGCTGCATGTGCGGCAGCACCAACTATGAGAAATCCTTATCGAATGATTATTCATTCCCTCATAGGAGCTGTTCTTTCACAAAGAAGGTTCTTCGTGCGCAATAACTTCTAGAAGCTTAGATATATGATTCTTATGCATCTTCCCATTTCCATTCTGGATTAGATTCACACCAAATGAACATTCTAAAACACATGAACAACCACACTTCATTAATGCAAAGTTGTGCCTCCACGTCATCCTTGGTCAAGGTTGCAAATTTATTGTTGCAACGGAGTTCTGTTGTTTCTGGCTTAGCTTAAAGTGATTCACCCAAAGTCACTTGAAAAACAAATTATTACAAAGTATATTAGGAATGGTACTGCAATTAAAAGGTATAAGTGGCAAGGAAAGCCAAAAACTTGCACAATTTCACATGTAAATTTAGCAAGTGTTCCAAGACCATTAAAAGGTCCGTAGTCACTGGAGTACAAGTGGCCAGTGGGAACACTATTGATCCTCCTAGGGGGTGGGTTGGGAAACAAAAAGGCCCGTAGTGGAAGAGGTGGATTTCAACTAATGCTAATTAGACGTTCCACTCAAATGTTCTAATATTTGAGATAGTTTACCTCCATGTTGCTTGGACTCTCCAAAAATGTTGTTGCACTTGTGTCAGATACTTAAAATATTTCACTATTGGAGGATCCGACATGTACCAGTTGATACTTTTTGAAGAGTCCGAGCAACATAGGCTTAACTTCACAAGTTTTTTGGCCCTGCATTATGCAGTATTACTTCTCTAACATGAGCCAGTGGCTGACAGGTAGAGTGGAGTGGTGGCCCTGAAACAATGGAAGTGGTTCTATCAAGGATACATCAGAGAGAAGAAGCAGCAGTGAAGCGGGAACGAACTATGGCATATGCATTTTCTCATCAGGCATGTTCATTTTATACGATTCTCTAGGTTATAGTATTTTCATTGTCCATTTCAGAACAAGAATCATCATTGTTCGGAATATTATGTCACAGTGGAGAGCCAATTCCAACCCAATGTTTGGATCAAGTATCCATGATTTAGGCAAAGCTAATTGGGGCTGGAGCTGGACAGATCGCTGGATCGCTGCTCGACCATGGGAAAGCCGAATCCCTGTTCAATCAAGTCCAAAAATTGCCAATAGAACAGCAAGCAAGACTCCTAAAAGTTACAAAACTCAAACAACAAAAACACCAGTTTCTGTTAAATCAACTTCTGCCAATCAGAAACGTGCTATGAAGCCTCGAAAGCTATCATACGAAGCAGCTGATAAACTAACTGCACAGAAAGGAATCAACAAAGTTGAAACAAGCATTGACAAACAGGAGGTGGTATCTTAGAAGCAATTGAAAGAAAGATGATCTGTTCAACATAAGACGCGTTTCTACAGTTCCGATGAGGATCAAATGATGCTGAAAAACTTGAAGATGGATATGTGTCTGAACAGTGAAGTGAAGTTTGCCAGTCTTTCGTTTAAATTTCCGAGCTCTTCCGAGCTTATGTATATGAAAGAAAAAAAAGGTTTTTCATTGGTTATAATGTGTATAGATAAAGCATTTCTGTTATAGGTTCAGAGCTCAGAATATTCAAGTTTGAATGTTCCTTTTTATTGTGTTTGTTGCCAATTTTTTTACTCAGAACATCTGTTTTGTACAAAATGTAAAAGATATTGCAGCGTGTTTTTGGTTATAGTAACATCTTATTGCTTGGTGATACTTTGTTTTTGGTTATATGTATCCCATGTTGATTTCATATACAATACATAAATAGACACTTTAATTTGGTCATCATCAGTTGAACACTTCGACTTTCATTATAATCATCTAGACTCTTCAACTTGACACAGGTGTCTCGCGGACACGTTAACTTTGAAAAGGCATATCTAGATACCTTTAAGGGTGCATTCTCAAAGTTAGGGTATTTACGGGGTCTAATTTAAACCAAGTGAATTTGGAAAATCATAAAAACTTTGATATCATACCTCTTCATCTTCATAAAAAAATCGCAAAGCACGATCATATTTTTTAGGCGACAGTTCTAAATTTTTTGAAGTTTAGATTATTGGAGACATGAAAAATGAACTATTAAGGTATCAAAATGAATTATGTGAACAACTTGATGGGTGGTGAGTGGGTGGAGGGACTTATGACTTTAGCCTTTGTGAAAACAAAATTTTAAAGTTACGTTCGGTAAAAATATGACATTTTCTTAGTATGGACTAAAAGGAAAAGTATGTCACATAAATTGGAACAAATGGAGTAATATCTTATCCACCTCTATCCAATGCTCACTAGAGATGAGAAATTGAATTTTCACAAACAAAATGAAAGTCCAGATAGTCAATTAACTGAGTTACTCAATTTTTTTCGATATAAAATAATTTAAACTAGACATTAATGTCTTATTCAATAAAAGATAAAAGGAAAAAAATGAAAACAAAAACAAAGGACAGAAATCTTAATAAATTAAAAGTGAAGTAAATATTTTGACTGTTGATGAATAGTGCAAAAAGTTTAATGTGAGCATGCCTATAATAAATATGTAACCTCCATATGACAATCAATCATTGTAACCAAACCAAAAGAGGAAGCCCTAGCTAGGTTTGTTTATTAACTATTCCTACTATTCACTTTATGTGATTCAAAATAATTATTATTTAGAGTAACAAATTTTTTATCCTTTTAAATATTTGAATAGTAAATTATTATAACTTATAGTATTTTTAAGAGTAAAAAATAATTCATTAAGACATTATTAGCTACTTTTTTCATACCTCTTGTCTTAGTAAACTTTCAACTAAACTTAATAATCATGTCGCTCTGTCGATAAAAGTTAAATTCTTAAAAAATGCATTAAGAAGATCTCAACACTTTTATCCAATTCAAATTTTTAGAGCAAACCTAAATGAGTCGTTATTTTGAAAGAAATTAAACATTTTATATCAAAATTTACTAATTATTTTTTTTAAAAAATAATTTTTATCTTTATACTCCGAATTGTCTCACATAAAAAGAAGAGAGGAGGGAGGGTGTATTAAACTTGTAAAATAAAATGGCCTAATAAACCTAGTCAATAGTTTTATGATTTTTTTTTCTTTCTATTTTTGGGGAAATCCTTTATTTAATGTCCACCAGATAGACCTGCCCACATGAATGAAAAGCTACTTTCTTGTAGTCATCATTGCTAGATGGAACTCTTCATATGAAAATCACAATTCCATGGACTCACATGGTGTCAGCCTCAGGTTTTGCAGAGGAAATTCTTGTTATTTCCTTCGTTTTAATTTATTTATCTGATTTTTACTTTGGTACAATATTTTAAAAAATAATAAATAAGACTTTTGAATTTCGTGATCCTAAACTAAAGATATGTAGAATGTATCAGAATGTTCTTTAACCATATGATCTTTAACATGTCATGTAGATAGTTAGAATCAAAGAGTTGTAAAAAAAAAAAGACATCCGGCTTGAAATAGACAAAAAAAGAAAAGTAATACAAACATATTAAAAAGAAGAGAACATTAGTCTGTGTTCAAATTAGTAAATCAGACAATTGAAATAATTTAGAAACCGAAAAATAGAAACTTTGAAGAAAGATATGTAGAATGTAACAGAATGTTCTTTAATCAAATGATCTTTAACATGTCATGTAGATGGTTAGAATCAAAAAGTTGTCAAAAAGAAAAGAGACATTCCACTTGAAATAGACAAAAAAAAAATAAAAAAAATACAAACATATTGAAATGAAGAGAATATTAGTCTGTGTTCAAATTAGTAAACCAGAAAATTGAAATAATCTGGACCGAAAAATAGAAACTTTAAAGAAAAATATTCGAGATCACAAAATTTAGTTTGTATCCTTAAGTAATTTAATCCCCCGATGTATCCGAAATGTTGAATTACTTCCTCCCAAAATAAAAACAGATATAGATATAGCTGAAATAGCGATGCCTCAAACGCTTACGACTTTGTTGAACTCAAAGATAGGTACAAATCACATGAAGACTCAACTTTCTGTTTATAAGAAAATATACGAAAGTAGTTCGCAATCAAATCAAAATCCGAAGCCAAGTCGAGCAACGACAACGGCATGAGAAGAGACTTTCTTCTCAACTCATTGTGAACTAGAATAAGTGCTTTTAGCCTTCTAATATAAACACACTAGTCTTCTTTTTACGGACATTCCCATTAGAACGAAGTCAATAATGTAAGATTTTCAATGAAAATTATTTCAGACGAACACATTTCCCACAAATTTCGTAAGGAATTTCATGTTTAGTATGAACTATCTAAAACAAATCTTGAAACTCCTTGAATTATTATTAATAAATGCATGTCAATTATAGTTCAACTTCAAATGCTAGCTCATAAAACAATTATCTAAAATCATATAAGGAGACAATAATACAGTTCTTTCTAGACAAAGTGAAAAGAAAGGGCCAAAAAAAAAGGATACAAATTCAAAAAATTGAACTATGCTTACTCACGAGTCATGAATTGAGTAACACCTACTACTGCTACTACTACTAAAGGAGTGACCACTCCATGTGCGTAAAGTATCCCGTATTCATACAGAATTTAGTGAAATATTGCACTTTGAAAGTGTAACATAGACAGTCTATCATGATACAATTATTAGTGACTGATTTCACATATCAAACCAGTAACCTATAGGTTATAAGTCACACAAAATCAAATTTACTGTTACTCCAAGACTTGGCTCAAGATTTTTTTTTCATTTCTATAATAAGAATTATACATTAATAAATCTAACTTACAAATATTTCAGCTCCAAAAAGGACTTGATGAAAAAACTAATCTTGATAATGTAGAAGAGTAGTGGAAATTGAACCCTGTTCATCTTCTTGTTGTTGTTGTGTTATTGGAGTAGTACAAAGTCCCAATAAGCCATCATTTGCAAATCCAATATTATTGGAATAAGATATAGTTTGAGGAAAAGTAGAAGTGGACTGAAGGGGTTCCCTCAGATAATTGAACATTTGGTTTTGGCCTAAAACTGTGGGGAAATTTTGTGGTGAAAAGCTGAAGCCATGATGATTATGATCACCAGAAAAACTGATGGATTCATTTTGATGACATGGTTGAAAACTGAAAAAGTTGCCTAATTGAGCTGATTGGTTTTTGGTTTCTGACTGAAAATGGCCTTGTGGGTAAGTCTGCAATTCACAAAAAGATTGAATCTTTGCATCTTTTGCTGATTGTCTTTTGGTTTCTGAGTGGAATTGGCCTTGTGGGTATGTCTGCAATTCACAAAAAGATTGAATCTTTGCATCTTTTGCTGATTGTCTTTTGGTTTCTGAGTGGAATTGGCCTTGTGGGTACGTCTGCAATTCACAAAAAGATTGAATCTTGGCATCTTTTGCTGATTGCCTTCTAGTTTCTGAGTGGAATTGGCCTTGTGGGTAAGTCTGCAATTCACAAAAAGATTGAGTCTTGGCAACATTTGGTGATTGGTTTTTGGTTTCTGACTGAAAATGGCCTTGTGGGTGAGTCTGCAATTCACAAAAAGATTGAATCTTGGCATCATTAGTTGGTTGTTTTTTGGTTTGTGAGTGAAAATGGCCTTGTGGGTGAGTCTGCAATTCACAAAAAGATTGAGTCTTGGCAACATTTGGTGACTGTTTTTTGGTTTCTGACTGAAAATGGCTTTGTGGGTGAGTTTGGTATTCACAAAAAGATTGAATCTTGGCATCATTTGGTGATTGTCTTTTGGTTTGTGAGTGAAAATGGGCTTGTGGGTGAGTCTGAAATTCACAAAAAGATTGAATCTTGGAACCATTTGCTGATGAATTCACAATTTGGGTGTCATTTGCTTGACAAACTTTTGAACTCTGTTCTTTATAGCATCGCTCTGGAAATTGATCAGTTGAATGCTGCATTGTGGCATTAAGTTTCGAAGAATGGCGAGCCAACTCTTCTAACTCCGTTTTCTTATCAACAGACCAACTTTGTTCAAGAGCAAATTGGCCTTCTTCATTTCGGACATTCAGTGCTTTATTTGTCGAGTCAATCTTATTGGAAAATACTTGAAAGGGAGTTTTTTCAAGCGCATTGATAGCCCTTTGAGCTTCTTTAATCAACCAATCGATAGCCTTACTAGGACGGTCATAGCCAAGACGATCTTGCACGTCATAGAACTGAATTGCCGTGTTAGGAGAGAGTCTAACACGCCTGTCCTTCGGACCTGTGGCTGTTGAAACCTTGCTGTGCCTGTCTTTCCTCCCCGTGGCTCGGACAATGCAGCTTCCATGGACTTCCATAACATCTTTTTTGGCCCTCTTTGGCTTCCTTTTTAGTGATACTCTCTTGGTTTCCTCTTTGTGACTTGGACATTGTGTGTTGTTTTGGTGTTTTGGGACTAAAGTTGCACTAGGGGGAGTGAAATAATTAGGCCATTGTTGCAAATGTTGGTAATCACTTTGGAGGATTTCATGAAAAAATTCATCTTTATTTTCATCATCATCATCTTCTTGTTGTGATGATGATTTATCTTCATTTTCATTTGATACTTGAAGTTGATGATTCATTGGAGGATCAAGATTTGGAGTAATCTTATTATTGCTTTTTGACTTCTAACTTTTTCAAGTGTAGTTGGTACTTAGCAATTGCTTTTTATAGAACTTCTTATGACTTTGGACCCTTAAGTAAAAGGTCGTACTTGAGAATAACAAATGCATAAATAGGTGAAAATGAATAAACTATGAAAAAGTGGAGATATGTTTAGTGTTTTATTGCTACAATACATCACATAGTCAGGATTTTCACCAAAGTGATTTAAAATGTAAAAACTTTTGGGCACACAAAAAAATAGAAGTGGGTGGAGGGTGCTTCTCACTTAGAATTGGGTGTGGTGGTTAGGGTGAGTTTTCCTACACGGTTGAACGCCATGTTCTAGACAAAGCTGCAATAATCTTCTTAAAATCGATGTGCCTTAAAGTGGTCGAGGAAAAACGCAAATATACAAAAAAAACCAGAAGTTCCAATATCTAAATATATCTACATAAAACTAATTTTAATAAAAACTATATACTATAATTTTCTGATGAAGAGAATTCAAAAGAATCTGTTGCACCTCCTAGCTCCATGTGGCTCTTGCAAAGATTGAACCACCAAAAGAATGCGGTTGGTGGTAAAGATTCTTTACTTTTAATCAGAGTTTTTAAATTTGAACGTTGAAAACATAGGCCTCTTTTGAAGAAGCATTAAAATCCCGTAACGAACTTTCTACATATATGGTGACTTTCCTTTGTTGAAGAAAATGAGAATCAAAAAAAAAAAACTAATCTTATGACATAATAACTATCAATTGAACAGGAGAAATTTATTCAAGTGGTTGAGTACATCTATCAACAACGGCAGTGCCGGCTCAATGCTAATAAAAATTAGGCATATGCCTTAGGCCCCCAATTTTAGGGGCCCTCTAATTTTTACCACGATAAACTATGTGTTATAAAAAAAATTAATTATCTAAAACAAATGTTTCTTTCTTTAAAAAATATATATTATTTTATTCTCCTTAACCTCAATTAAATAGAAGAAATCAAGAAAAAATTTGTTTTGTCTTCTTACATTCTCTTCACTAACTCTCGCGTTGTAATTTTCTAGACCCCTTTTATACTATATGTAAGTTAGAGCTCTATCAAAAATTGAATCAATAGTAAAAATCATGTTTTGGATAAAGTGAATTACAAGCATGTTTAGATTGACTTATTTCATGTGTTTTAAAACAAAAAAAGAAGGTTTATAAGCAGTTTTGTCAACTTATTACTTATAGAATAATGTTAACAATTTATATAATAATTGCCTCAACTAAAAGATTTTAGGCCTTTAATTGAAATTTCGCTTTAGGCCTCCAAGTATGTTGAGCCGCCCCTGATCAACGGCATATCAAAGGTTTGAGCTATGTTCGAGAGTAAATGAGAACACTATTAATCCTCGACGGATCGGACGGGAAACAATTTTCCTGTGACACTAGCAAGTACTTCTAGTACTAAAGTAGACAACTCAACACACTCTTTTGGATTTACATTTTATCTTTTTGTGACATACATTATGATCAGTAGTGTTCAATATTACTCCCACTGCATAAATAGTTATTTCTGTTTTCCTGTCACTTCATAACCTGTTTGCCATAACCAATAATAGCCCCTACAAAAAATCAGAGTAACTATGACAGTTATTTTTACGGTGAATTAATGAAAAATTTATGTTATAAATGATAATTTTTCTATCCATTTCTCATTGAAGTAACTTACTGAAAAACACATGGTGAAAAATACATTTTCACTGAAATACGTAAAAAAAAATTCAATTTTCTGTATGAAAACATTACCTTATCGATTAAATTAAAATATTTATGAAAATTGAGGACGTAAAAATATGGTAGGAGGTGTAGTGTAAATTAGTAGTTGTAAGTATAATTTTTGTACGTTGAAAAACTCTTTAAAATATGATATGTAAAATTATGAATTGTACGTAAATTTCCCCCTAAAATTAAGGACTCCTACAATATGGTAATAGGTGTGTGTCAAATTAGGAGTTGTACGTGGTTTTGTTTTTAATATGAGGTAGAAAAAAATTTAATACAAGAAAAATTAATGTTAGTAGGGAACCTATATATAAATGGAAGGTGTACATGAAAAAAATTAAGGACTCTTATAATAAAAATCCAACGCCACGTCGAATGTGTCTATTTATTTAATTTTATATAAATTTAAATGTCAAATTATGCACACGCAAAATTAATGGACAAAGATTCTATTGAAGCCAAGTTAAATGACATGTTTATGTATTATGTTAAGTTCTTCATTGGCTTCTACACAACATCATGTTGTTTCAATCCCCAACTAAATTAGAGCAGTTTCAAAAGAAATATCTCTAATGATCAAGGATTCTATGTGTCGACTAATATCGATCAATATTTTTCAGTTTAAAATAATTTTTTACCTAGATCGTGAACACCCTTTTTTTAAAAAAAAAAACCTTTAAGTAGGGCCCTCTAAACTAAAGAAACAAAGAAAATTGCATGCGTGCATGTGCTTGGTCTTTATCCCCCAACTTTAACTTGTTAGTACTTTTTTTTAATTATTATTATTATCTTCGTGTTTTACTCTCAATATTTATTACTAATAGCTTGTAAAGTTAATATAAACCCGTTTGACCATAAAAATTCAGGATAGAAGGAGTATTATATATAATTAAACCAAAACATAGAAGATATTATATTAATCTAGTCTAATTAGTCAAATCCTTAGTGTCTTTTTTTCTAATCCAAATCATTATTGTTCCCCTAATCCTTTGCTAAATCTATTGCAGCAATAAATAATTCAGCCTAAAAGCTGAAAAAAGGACCTAATTAAAGTACATAATTGACTTCAATTAATTATTAATTAATTACTTGGGTACCTAAGAGCTAGCTCGTTTTATGTGTATATACAGACCCTTTTTATATTTATTGAAATAGTACAATTTATCTTTTTAATGAGGGTGTCATTTATTCAATCTTCTTATTGTTATACGAAATATTATTATAAATTAAGAACTTATAATATAGTACCATAATATGAAAATTGAATTCAAAGAAAATATAATTGGTAATAAATAGACTTAGTAAATTTTGATGATTGATAAATAATTTGAGCTAAAGGAATTGGACCAGATCAAATAAATTATTAAAATAAAACATGTGTTGAACTAAATGAATAATAAGGTACAATAATTTCATATTCCATTCAAAATATGAACTCGTAGTAAAACTCTTTGAATGAAAGAGTTATTTCAATAACAATAATGAGAATTCTTTGGGAAGATCTTGGATAATAACAATAACATACCTCGAGTTTTTTTGGTACGAAGTTGTTTTTGTCAGAGAGCAATGCTTTATTTTCAATGTGGAACTTTTAGATGTGAATTTAGATTTAGTCGGGCTTCAATTAGGGTACTGAACATCGAATGGGAAACTCAAAAAAAAAAATATACCTAGTAAAATTTCATAAGTGAAGTCTGTAGAGGGTGGAGTATTGAACATCGAGTGGAAAATCCGAAAATAATAATAACATATATACCCAATAAAATTTATGAAGTGGAGTTTGGAGAGGGTATAGTATACACATACTTTACTATGACAAAAATAATTTTTAATAGCAATAAATATACACATTAATAAAGGGTGATGAAGCTTTTACCAACATTGGTATATAGTCATTGGATCCAATATCGATATAGGTTTTATGGAGTTTACAAATAGGGTTAATTGTCACTAAAAGAATATATTTAGTGACAATTAAGATATTGTCATTTATTAATTATCGTTAAAGAGCATTTTTGGTGTAGTACCTTGGGACCTCATGACTCACAGAGTTGAGAAACTATCTCTGAAAGACCCTCAATTCAAGACCAGCAAATTCAAGTATAAAGACAAAGAAAACAAAACATAACAACTAACAAAAAAATAATAATGCAAATTAAGCCTAAAAAAAACAATAACAATAAATAATCTGATAAAAACATATTAAAGATATTGAATAATCTTTGCACGAAATAAAACTCTTAAATATATAAGTCCCAACTATGTGAAGCAAGGAGTTTGCCTCCAACTCAAACACTATTTTTCCTTAAATATCCCTTCGTTGAATTTTATTAGATTTTTTACCCCCTTGAAAAATATAGTAATAATTAATATAAATATTTTATTATAATATTTATATTAATTAATGTTTATTATTAAATTTTGAAATTTTTTTAAGAATAAGTAATTAACTCTAAAGGTAAAACATGAAATAAAATAATTATTTTTTTTAATATGTAAAAAGAATAAGTAAAAATAAAAATCTAATTTTAAAATAATGAACAAGTAAAAATAAACGGGGAGTGTAATACTACTAACTTGCTTTTACTTGTCGGGTAATGCTAAATGGCCAAAAAATTTGGCCAAAATTTGGCCAGAAATTTAAAAAAACTATAATATTTTTTTATTTTAAAATAAACTGATTTTTTTTCCTTTTTTTAGTTAAAAGATATTAAAGTTAAAATGAGAAAATATTTTAAAAAATAAAATAATTTAGGTAAAATATCATTCTGACCAAATTTTTTCGCCAAAAAGATTTTTCCTTACTTGTCATTAGGGGTGTTCACGGTTTGGTTTGGATCGGTTATTGGTCAAAACCAAAACCAAACCAACTTAATCGATTTTAAAATTATCAAAATCAAACCAAACCAAATGTAATATACATTTATCGGTTTGGTTGTTTTCGGTTTTGGTTTGGTTTGGTTACTCGGTTATTAACCATACATAAAAATAAAAGAAACAATTCATTCAAAACGTGAAAAAAGTGATAACAATTCATTCAAACAAAAAAATAGTTAGAATGACTGGCATTACAAAACTTTCGATCATTGAATTTACTGAATAAAACTTCAAAATTCACTATTTTGGCATAGAAGGAAGAGACAATGATATTTTCAGTCCCACAAAGAATTTTCATAGACACTCATATACATGAAACCAATAAGAAAAATGTTCTCACCT